CTAATTATGGGAAACAACGGTTCCTCTCGTACCGAGTTGCATTACTATTGCAACAATGACTCATCAGTAGGGTAAAACTAACCTGTCTCACGACGGTCTAAACCCAGCTCACGTTCCCTATTAGTGGGTGAAAAATCCAACACTTGGTGTATTCTTCTTCACAATGATATGAAGTGCCGACATCGAAGGATTAAAAGGCAACGTCGCTATGAACGCTTGGTTGCCTCAAGCCAGTTATCGCTGTGGTAACTTTTTTGACACCTCTAGAATAAAATTTATAAAGCCTAAAGGATCGATAGGCCGTGCTTTCACAGTTTGTATTCGTACTGAAAAACATATGTATATGTGTATGTTTGTCTGTCTACATTTGTATTATAGACTGTACTTGGCAAAGAAGTCAATGAAGAAGTCTAAAATCAATATTGCTAGACGAGGAGGGTTTTCAAGTTTCAGTGAATGGAGAACTTACCGAAAATAACCGAGACTGGATCGGCGTCTCGCTTATGAGTGGTAATGCCATGAAGCGCGAACTAAGGGAGCGATACAACTGTACTCCATCAGGTATAGCAATTGCCGTGCTTCGTAATAAGCTAGTCATCGCACGTGATCTAGGTGGGCGTTCGTGCTAGACGCATCCGGACCACACATCAACTTCCTGTTGGATAACAGAGCTGTTGAGTACAACAAGCGTGACTTGGTTGGTGTCCGGAGAGATATACTGCGTGCTGAGATACGATCTAGCGATGACACACGCTACTTGACTCCAGAGGGTGGCCAAGTAGCACTACAAGAAGAATACAATAACCTAGGAGAGCTCGATTAAGTACGTGCTTTTCTACTATGGTAAGAAATTGAAGTGAGGCACAAATAAAAATCTATTTATATAACAAAAAAAGAGTCACCGGGCCTGTCGTAGCGGAAATCGAAAATTTAGCAGAGACCTAAATCCAGAGGGCCGTGTATTTATGTGACAATAAATAGTAATAATAACATTAATAATACTATTTTCTTAAAATAAATGTCGATTTTTATATTTCTATTAAAATAAAGATCTCTACAATTTCAACGTTTCAAGAAATCACAATCGCCATGATTTGATAAATCGGATCCAAACACAAGTACTCTGCCCCAAATTGTGTTGGCATGGTCCTATTTAAAATTTACTCAACCCGATATCATGTCAGCCGAAATTTATAGCGTCCTGAATTTTGAGGTAGGAGCAGATGAGTGAAAAATTAGGAATTGAGAATCCCGCGAGTCGCAGGATTGTTTGAGAGGGGTCTCTGACGCTATCTAGCTTTAGTACTAATAATTTTATTGGTTTTTGGGTCGTGTTGTTTAAAAATTCTGCGACTCGAAGGAAAGTCTGTCGGCGCTGGTGTTTTAAATTTGTAATTTCTCAGTTTCAGGCTCTCAGGCTCTCAGGCTCTCAAGACTCAGGCACTCAGAACAATGGCCGGCTGCTGTGGACCTGTAGTCTGTAGAGCATGGTATATTTACTATGTACTGAAGAGTGTGACCCGCCGTACGACCGAAACATTTCATACATACTTGATTATTTATAGAGGAAACCTGTTTTTTTAGCCCGTTTGCCATAGCCTCCTTAGGGTGGTTCTTAACGAGAGGTCTCCATTAAAAGTAAATAAAATTAAAGGGTACTTTTGAGACGGTCTTTGGCTCAGTTTCTTTTTTTTTGCCATCCCAGCCGTTGGAATTGAAACCGTAAATTTTGAGAATAAAGCCATCCTAGTGGTTGATGAAATCCAATAAAATTTAGTATACCTATGCCGCTCAAAATATACGAGCAATGCTGCGTCTTTCTATTGGTTGCAATATGGTAGAATATTGAGTGTCAAAGCATCGTTGTGTGAGCCGTTTTGACATTTTCACATTTTGTAAACGTACTTTTTAGTTTTTGTTTGTTATAGTATACTAGAGTTCAGTACATCAATGAATCTTCTGTTGGTTGTAGTGTACTATACTATATACAGGAAGTAGTTCATAATAACAATGTCGCTCTTAAAGAACAGGGCGGTAACACACAAGCGACGAGTGATGCTGTCTAAACTTTACTAGCTGATGAGAGCAATGGAAAGGGATAGAGTGGGTGACGGACTTTCCAGCTTTCAGGTGAAGTGCAATAGAGGGATGCTTGTTGCTCGTACTCGCGCGAACTGGCAAACACTCTGCGCTCTGCTACAAGCAGAACGCAGCTTTGAGAACACTTTTCGTATGACGTACCCAAAGTTTTTGTTTCTTGCACGTGAGATAAACGAAACATGCAGAAGAAACAAAAGGATGGGAATGTTGAGAGGAGGTGCAATAGATCTGGAGGTACAACTTGCTGTCTACCTGCGTACAGCAGCCGGCGGAAAATACCAAGATATTAAAATTGCGTTTGGGATTTCTTCTGCTGCTGTTTACTACATATTCTGGAGAGTTTTATACACAATTGATGGTTTGAGTTTCCTGTATTTCCGCTTTCCAAAAGAGGAAGAAGAGATTGCCAAAGCAGCGGAAGAGTTCAAATCACACTCTACTCACGGAGTGATTAGCCGTTGTGTTGACGTCGCCGATGGCTTATTTGTGCGTGTAGCTTTTCCTCCATTAAATAGATGTCAGTATAGGCGTCGTTTATATTCTGGACATAAGACTGGTTATGGGCTGAATGCCCAAGCCATGTGTGATGCAAACTATAAGTTTGTTGCATTTCTTATCATGGCATATGGTAGTATGCATGATAGTCGAGCTTGAGAATATAGCCGGTTTGACCTGCTAGTGGAGAATTTACCCATGTTTTACTACGTACTGGGTGATGTATCCTACAGATGTACCAACCATATGCTTACACCCTATCCTGGCACTCGTAAAACATTGTGTGTGTGTGTGTGTGTGTGTGTGTATGTAGTTAAACTTTGAGTAGGTAAATTAC